CATTGAATTGTTTGTCTGTGTTGTCTCGTATTTCCTTGAGTGTTTTTATGATAGCTATTTTGAAATCTCTGTCATTTAGGTTATGGATTTCTGTGTCTTCAGGGTTGGTTTCTGGGTGCTTGTCATTTTCTTTCTGGTCTGGTGATTTCATGTATCTTTGCATTGTGGTTCCTGTGTTGGCTTAGTTTTTCCTCATCCTGGAAATCTCTGGTTGCAATTTCCATCCGCGCCACTGTGTGGTGATGAAGGCTGTGTAATCTGAGCCCCCTGCACTCTGCCGCGCTTTTTCGTGGCAATCCGCGGGTGGCATTGCTTGGTCTGGTCTGGTCGGCTGAGCTGCAAGGTCTGGTTTTCAGGGGAGGGGGCTCTCTCTTTTACCCTCTGGTCCCTGGCGTGGGGGGCTTCTCCTTCACCCCTCGTTGTCCGCTCTCTGGGGTGCTCAGATGTTGATGGTACTCCGTAGCAGTTCTGAGTCCTCTCTCCTCACTTCCTGCCGGGGCCCAGCACATTCTGCTCTCAGATGTGCGGTAGTGTGGATCTTTCCGATCTTGCTTTTCACTGTCTAGGATTCCGTTGTTGGTCTGTGACTGTTCCTTTTGTTGTATCTTATCCAGGGAAGAGTTCATGGGAAGGCTCACTCCGCCATGATGCTGACGTCACTCTTGAACTGACAGATCTGAGTGAAACTTTCATTTCATTTCAGTCATTGACCATTGCATCCAGGAATAGAACTTAACAGCCTCCTCCTAGTGGCCCATGGTATATTGCAAGTGTTCAGGGAGATCCCAGATTCCACGTGAAATTCTGCCATCTGGAGGCTCAAACCTTCTACCTGTGCTCAGTTTAAGACAATCTCACTGGACATTTCCTATTATATGCCAGTCCCATGGGTTGACCTGGTTGTCACTCCTTGCATTACCATAAATTTAAAAGATCTAACATATGAATAATTAGAATCCACAAAGGAGATAAGCGAAATAATGGGATAATAAATATTTGAAATGATAATCCATGAGAAAATTCCAAAATTGTTAAAGACATCAAGTGCCAGGAAAAAAAGTCCTACAAACTTCCACTTCTGCCTATGATGGTACAGCTTGTATGAGACCAACACTTCCTCCAAGAACAAGTAGAAAATCTGGATAAATACAAAAATCAGATGTTTGAAAGTGTTGGTGAGCAGGTAAGGCAGTGTGAACTTGAAGGCTCAAGATTCTAGAAAAAGGAGAGCTACAGAGAAAGAGCATAACATTCTGCACTACTTTTCCTCTTAAAGCTTTTGCCAGTTCTCAGGAAGACATGGGAGAGGAAGTTACAAAGCCAAGCAACACTGGGTGAGGAAAGCCACTTTGAAGGCAAGGTGACATTGGTGATTTCCACTGAGTGGATTTACAAAATCAAACTGTGTAGTGAGTTAAAAAGTTTAGGGACATCTATACTGACACCTTATTAGTAAAACTGCGTTGGCTTCTGCTTGAAGATTCATTGATTCTATGTCCTGTCTGCATTTGCTCGAGACCAGGCCTTAGAACAGACCTTCTGCTTCCTCTGCAGCGGGGTATAGTCAAGTTTTTTTCAATTCCACATACTGTTAATCACCAATCCTAATTAAAAAATTGGGTTGGTCTTTTTGTGTGTGCATGTGTGTGACTTGCCATTGTGTGGTTCCTCCATTTTTCTCATCTCTAGAGGTGAATACCTACCTATCCATTGAGTGGTCAAATGACCAAAAGGTTAGCATTTGGAAACATGCATTGTAGTTAGTAAGATAGCAAATGTTGGCTGTAGCTAATAGAAATAATGAATATCTCCAGATACATTATGGACAATGTGAATGCCTGCACACATGATAAATGTAACCTTAATAAATGGTTGGATTCTAACAGAAAGCTCTGTACTATTCACTGATGAAGATGTCCCAAGGACACGTCAATGTTTTTGTGCAGGAGAATTACAGACCATTTTTTCCCAGGTTATGGTTATCACGCTCTCAAACACATGCCAGTTTCATATCTAACCTCTAAGCCCTTGTTCCTACCATCAAGCTCTGAAGTGCACTGAAACCTCATTCGGTGCTCCAAATAAAAAATAACTTTTTTTTTTTTAAAGCCAAGCAAAATCAGCAACTAGAGGCTAAAAACCTAAGGGATCCCTTGGCATTCTCATAGTGTTGGTGGATAAATGTTGAGGTCAGTTTCCTCAAAGGAGAAGAGAATCTGATAAACCCAACTCTCGACTGAGACCCGTAAATGGCCACGGCATTGGAGTGAGGAGAGAGACCAGGAATAACAAAGGCTGAGCCCAGGAATCATTGTGGGAAAGCTGAGATAGGGCTTCATCCTTGCAGTAATGGAGGATAGGTGCTTTCCCACAGGGCATGAAGATTCTTTATTGTCTTATTCTTAATTATCATGCGCCATCTGTGCATCAGGTCATATGGAGAAACCTCAACTAACTTGTAGGCATATCTCAGTAAAGTCACTGCAAATAAGTTCTTGGTGAATCTACTTTTGTCTGAAAGTGGACTTACCTGAGCAATCTGGAGATGATTGATGGGTCAGAGGTATACAAATCAATGATTGCTGTTATATAAGAAAAAATAGCATCTAATATGTGTTTAGTTCTGTGCTGGGGACCTTGAGAGCTGTCTACCTGGAAGGTATAGCAAGGAGAGAAAAAGTAAAGAAACTAAGGGTTCCCATGTCTATGCACAGTGTTGGGAAATTCCCAACAGATTTTTTCCAAGCACAAATGACTTGTCCAGCATCATCAAAGAAGGCAGTGGCACAATCAGGATTCTGACCCCAGCATGTCTGATTTCAATCCTAGAGTAATTCTCCCAAGCTTGGCTGGTCAAACTTCTGGCCATGAAGCAGAGAAGGGACAGGTTTCACACTCAGCCTGGCTGGATTTTGGGGGTTAGGAGTAGGATGAGCATGTCTAAGGCCCTGGTATCCTGAAGACCAGACTCTGCTGGCCCTTTAACAGTGTTGTCTGATGTTTTGCTAGAATAGACGTAGAGAAAACAACTCAGTAGAGATGCTCACGTGGCAGTAAACTCCCACTATGTCAGGACAAGGACATGGGGAAATTCATGCAGGTTCATCTAACTTCTTCAAGATGACATCCTTGTTTATAGAACACTGCCCACTGCCAAGGGCGTTGGAAGGAGTGTCAGGTTTCTCTGGACATCAGCCAAGATCAGTGATCACTGCCTCTGAGAAGGTGGGATGTCAAGTTGACTGAAGGTGCTCAAGACCAGTTCCTTCCACCCTGAAGCCTGGGTTCCTTGAACCCACGTGCAGGAATCCTCTTTGGAACTGATCTCAAATTATCTTTAGAGATTTCTTATTCCGTTTCTCTTTTGTCTCCCTTCCCTGGAAAGCAGGAGCAGAGATCAGAGCCCAAGTTTTTATTGAATCTCTGGGAAAAATGAGTAGTAAGTGAGAGGGACAAACAATTCCAGTTAGAAAATGCAACTTCTCCATCTCTCCCAGCAGAACTAATGACTCTGCAATTTGATTCTATTAATTTACCATTGATTGAGCACATAAACTGTGCTTGCAAAGGGCAACAAGGGATAAAAACATCAAGCTTGCTGTTCTCAAGACGTGCAGAGTGGAGAAGAATTAAAGCAACTGAAAAAAGATGAACTTGTTAAAATTAGATACATTTTAGTAACATAAATGAGATTTAAGCCAACACTAAGTTATTTGTTTGAAAAGGAGGGGTGACAGGGTCTTTAATAAAATAGTTTCCCTCTCAGCCAGGCGCACACACTTGGAATGGAAGAGAATGTTCAACCAATGCTTTCTGAGGTTCTAATATGTTGATAAGTAGGAGTGGTTTCTTTAGTCCATTCAGATCACCCAAGTCCCAGCCTTGGGCATGAGACAAAACACTAAGACTCCCAGGGCAGATCCTGGGGATATCCACAGGTTGTCTTAGAGCAGTGCTTCTCAAAATATAGTCCCCCACACAAGAAACATCAGCATCACCTGGGAACTTGTTTGAAATGCAACTTCTTGGACTTCACCTCAGATCTACTGATGAGCAACTCAAGAGGTGGGCCCAACAATCTCTGTTTCATCAAGACCTCTAGGTAATTCTAATGCATGCTATATCTGAGAATCTCAGCTGTGGCGCATCTCTCATATGCTGGCCAATAGAACCTTAATTTGTTGTTTCCTGGAATACTGGTCCCTAGAATAATTTAAGACAACACGTATTGATGTCAAATCTAAACAGAGCTCTGTGACCAGATCCTGGAGTGTCCCTTCCCCTGGAATGTTCATCTCCCAGATGACTCATGCTCTCTCCCTCACCACTTTCAGATTTGGGCTGAAACATTACCTCTTCAGTGAGGCTTTTCCTGTACATCCTACTTAAAACTGCAACCCCACCCTACCTCCTGCCTTTGTTTTTCTCTATGGTATTTATCAACTTCTAATGTACTTTATATTTTACCTGTTTATTTGGTTTATTATTTCTCTCCCTTCACTAGAACATAAGCTTCATGAGGACAGGGATTTGGGCTGTTTTCTTCACTGATGTATTTCCAGTGCCAAGAAAAGTGCCTTACATGAAATATGTGTTCAAGAAGAGGTTTATGAGTGAATGGCCATGATTGTAAGAATTGGTCACTGGGAGGACCCTTCAAAGGATAATCAGTGAAGGAAATGGTTTCCTGCGCAATTCCCAGTCAGAGATGATGAAGTGGCAATGGAATTGAAGAGAAGATGGATTCCAGAGTCCGAGTTCAAGACAGAGCCATCAGCAAAGCAAAGGGAGGCCCAGTGTGATCTGAATTGCATCGCATCATATTTTTACTCTCCAGGGTACTAGAGGTTAGTGCGAAATGTGGGGGAAAAAACCAGAAGCAGTGGGGGCTAGAAGCATGTGAATGATTCCCTTCAATGGGGGAGCAAAGTCTTTTCAATGAAGGGGACCCAAAAATCCCACTGACCCTGAGGTTCAAAGCAATATCACTCCCAGAAGAACTTGCATTGCACTGGAGATGAAGACTCTATGCAGCTTACGATGATGGAAGGAGACACAACTATGAAATTTCACTTAACAGCCAACAAGGGGTGGAGAAGAGATGGATCTCGTGGGGAAGGGTGTCAAAGGGGTGAAACAGATATGTCTGAGTCCTGTTCATTGGTTTGCACACAAATGACCACAATTATGGGAGCACAGACAAGCAAACATTTTACTAAGTTTTAGGGATATGGGCACAGAGGAGTAGGGAGGTTGTGGAAAGGATGCTCAGCTGCTCTGGAATAGGTGGGGGTCCCAGGAGAGGACTGAATGATATCTATGTCCCTTCCAGCAGTAACAGAGAGGCTCCACATTCTTCATGAAGCTCAGTTGGGTGGGGTCTGCAGCTTTGAGCAGGATGCTCAGGCTTAGGGACAGAGCAGAGTCACCCAGACTGAGTTCACATTGATGTATCAGCTGAATATGAATTTGGGAGAGGGAAATGTGCAAGCCATGGTGATGAGGAGAGAAAATGATGCTCTGTGCTGGATCCCAAGCCCCATGTGAACCAGCCCCAGGGAATTTTTTCAACTTTAAATAACTAATACTTACTTAGTGCTCACCACATGTATTAGTTTCCTATTGCTGCTGTAACAGACTACCACAAACTAAGTAGCTTAACAACGTGAAATTATTATCTTACAGTTCTGGAGGTCAGAATTCTGAAATCAGTTTCATTGGGCTAAAATCAAGGTGTCAGTAAGCCAGCGTTCCTGTTGAAGGCTCCAGGGAGAATCTGTTTCCGTGCCTTTTCAGCTTCTAGAGGCTGCCTGCATTCCTTAGCTCATAGCCTCTTCCTCTGTCTTCCAAGCCAGCAGTGCAGCCCCTTTCCTCATCTCTGACCTCTGCTTCTGTCCTTATGTCTCTCTCTGACCATGGTGTTCCTGCCTCCCTCTTACAAGGACCCTTGTGATCCACTGGGTACCCAGATAATCCAGGATAATCTCCAATCCCAAGACCCTTAACTTAATCACATCTGCAAAGTCCCTTTACCATGTAAGGTAACATATTCACAGGTTCCAGGGATTAGGAGGTGGATATCTTTGGGGACCATTATTCAGCCTACCACACCCCATGAAAAACTCCATTTGAATGTGAAGACTAAAATAAATTGTAATTCCTTGACCCACCGAATAAGTTAAGGTATCCCATTGAACACCTTTTCGTCACACAGTAGAAACAAAGGATTTAATGGATGAGTGCCAAGCTATGGAAAATAAATAGAGCACAGTGTATGTTTTCCCATCAGTCAGTCGACAAGTCTCTGCTGAGGGCCTGGCACAATCTCAGAGGATAAATCTGTGGTTTTTCTGAGACACACAGGGGAGGAGGAAGTTATAAGAATAGGTCAGCTACCTATTGGCTCAGACACACACACACACACACATCCCCCTCCATGTTGAATCAGTTTGGATAACATTGACGGAGTCCTCACCTGAGCCCTCACCTGAGTCCTCATCTGAGTCCTTACCTGAGTCCAAGCTTGGTCGCTCCCACTGGGAAAGAGAAATATGCCTGGCCTGCCCTGAACCAAGGGAGGGGCTCTGATAACTATTTCCCTTTCCCTCAAGCCTGCTCCCCAGACTGACCTCCTAAAATACAGGGGGAAATAGATCCATTTGATTCCCCCTCTACCGCAACCTTGTCTATTTAAAGGGCAAGAAAACAGAACTTATCAGGTGGACCCTAAATCTGTTTTTCTCATCTTATGAGAAGCCCTCCACAGCACCTCCAGCCTGAGCAGGGCATTCCTCATGGTCTCATCGGGCAGAAAAGGATTGAAGAACTTCAACATCAGGTTGGATGAGTTCAGAGAAAATGAGCTGGCAATGGGCCTCAGGTGGCCACACCTTGTCCCTTCTGAAGAGAAATCTGAGAGTAGATTGGGAAGAAGATTAGCTAGAAGCTCCCTTACCCCACCCCACAGTCACCTTCATGCATTCAGTTGAGGGATGGAGCAATCAGGGCTCCGTAGAGTTTAGATTTGGAAAAGCCATTACAGATCATTTCATTCCACCCCCTGGGTTAGGAGATGAGAAGGAGAGAAGCAATTTGCCAAGGCCACATGGCCACTTGGTCATAAAAGCTGGACTAGGAGCAGGATTCCTGGTTCCTGACTCTGTGCCCTTTCTACAGCTACATGGTGGGTGTTGTCACCCAAGCCTGAGCATCCTGCTCACATGGTGGGTGTTGTCACAGAAGCCCTGGGCCAGGACACATTCTCTGCCTGTGTCCTCATCTCCTACCTGCCCCCAGTGCACACCAGATCTCATGGTCCCCCATGGGCATGGCCCTGCCATGGGCCCTCTGTGCTGCTGCAGCACAGACTCGCCCCGAGAAGGCCCCTGTGGTGGCCCAGGTAAGCAAGAGCTCCATTCAGAGGAGACACGCGTAGCAGGATTTACCAACAACAGAGCTGCCAGAAGCCAGCAGAGAAACCAGCACCAGAGCCACTGTCACCTTCATCTTCAAGTGGGTGGCAGTTTCTCCAGGCTTTCTGGGCCAGGCACAGGGGACTGGAACTGGAAATGTGGACTTGGACTGAATTAAACTTGCAGAACTTCCCTGGGGCTCCTCCTGGAGGAGCAGGTAAAGGGACTGTCCCTGAGAGGGGCTGGGAGCCAAAGCCTGTTCCTGTTCTGGTTGGGGAGACTGGGTGTGTGTGTGTGTCTGTCTGAGTCTACATGTGTGTCTGTCTGTCTTGTGTGTCTGTGTGTCTGAGTGTGGCTGTGTGTCTGAGTGTGTGTTTCTGAACGTGTCTGTGTGTTAGAGTGTGTGTCTGAGTGTATTTGTCTGTGTGTCTGAGTGCATGTGTACTCACCCGGGAGGGAGGCGCTCTCAGGTGCTAAGTGTGCAGAGTGTGGTTCAAGGAGGTCAATGTGGTGGGGTGCCTGTCAGCAGAGGGTGGAAACTGGGGGGAGACTGGTCGGAGACGATAACTACAGCAACCTGTGTGCTCGTGGGCTGATACCTCCCATGGCTGCAGGATTTTGAGGTTTTTCTCAGCCTCAGCCCTAACCTCTGGAGCTGAGACCCCCTACCACCCCAGAAAATCAGACCCTTCCTGAGCCGAGTGACTCTCCCACACTGATGGGGGAACATCGAACATTGTCAGAAGCTGAAGCCTGAAGGTCCCAGAAAGTAGAAAATGGTGGAAAATAAACACTAGCAAGAACACGCCTTCCAGGGCCTGACTGCCAAGAGTCCTGTGGTTCTGGGGATGGTGGCCGAGGTCACCTAGGGCAACTCTGCTGAGGGACCTCAAGGCTGATGACTGCCCTCATGGGTGATTTCTGTGTGTACGCAGGGTGCCCCATGGAGGCCTAAGAATTAGGTTCTTGAGCAAGCTTTTGCTGTGGTGGCCAACTCCAAGGGGCTTGCCCTGCTCCCCATCTCCTGGACTCAAGAGGGGCTGACACAGATACTGTCCTCCTAGTTCTCTAAACAGCTTTCCCCTGGGTCTGCAACCCAGAACACACAGCCAGGACAAAGGGAGTTCATCAGCTTCATCTCTCCATGTCTCTGCTGCTTTCTTGGCACTGGTTCACTCTCCCATGGTGTCCCCAGACCCTGGCAGATGCCTGCAGTGCCTGCTTCACCTGTGGCAGCTTTATGTCACACTGGAAAGACTTTCCCAGGAACTGAAACAAAATGCCACAAATGAGTCCTATTGACTCTGACTGTCCCAACTTTATCAAGCATAGTTTCAAGTGACAATATGATGCTGTGATTGGCCAGGCCTGGGTCAGATGCCTCCACCCCCAGCCAGGAGCCAGTGTTGGAGCTAGTTCCAGGAGAACCATAGGACTGAGAGTCAGGCATGGGGCAAGGGGGTGGGAATACAAAATGGCGTGACGTTTCTCAGCACAATGGCATCTTTGGATGGCCTCCTGCCCCATGTTTCATCCCGCTCTGATCGTTCTGTGTCTGTACTCTTTGATCCATCCAAGAGGTATACCTGAGAACTTTCCTTGGGCCAGCCCCAGTGGGGGTCCTGAGGATACAGAGATGAATGAAGCAGACCTGATCTTCATCAAACCCAAATACTTCCACCGGCATTCAGACCACCACAAACCACAGATACCACATGTGACCACGTTGCCCACTCCCTCCAGCCCCTCAGCCAGTCCACCCTCCTCAAGGCCCCCCCCACTTGCTATGCCCACGCTGCCTCTCTGCCCTTGCTAATCCCACTGTCCCACCCTAAATGCCTTATTTCTGCCACGGACACTCCTATTCCAGTGACTCTGCCAAAATTGGCGCATTATAATGAATAGGAGCCAGAGTTCAAATCCAGCCCATATAAGCTGTGTGACCTTGGCACATTATCTAACTTTTCTGGGCCTCAGTTTCCTCACCTCTAAAATAGAGAAGATTATACCAGAATCTACCTCAGAGGAGTAACTGTGATGATGTGGTATGTTATGGGCTGAATCGTGTCCCCAGAAAAAGAGATGTTGGGAGTTCTAACCTCCCAGTATCTCAGAATGTGATGTTATTTGGAGAGAGGGTCTTTACAGATTACAGCATAATCAGGTTAAAATAAGGTCATTAGGATGGGCCCTAATCCCTATGCCTCGTGTCCTTATAAAAGGGGAAAAATTACACACACAAACCCAGGGAGAATGTCACGGGCAGATGGAAGCAGAGATTGGAGTGATGCAGCAGAAGACAGGGACCATCAAAGATTCTCAGCAAACCATCAGAAGCTGAGAGAGAGGCCTGGAGCAGATTCTCTCTCACAGCCTCAAAGGAACCAGCATTGCTAACACCTTGATTTCAGACTTATGGCCTCCAGGACAGTGTGACACTAAATTTATGTAGTTTAAGCCACCCAGTTAGTGGTCCTTTGCTAGGGCAGCCCCAGAAAATTAATATGTGTGTCACAGCATGACGTACGTGCTCACAAAGTGTGTGCTCAATAAACACCTATGTTGTTATTAACACCAGAGAACCCAGAACTCACTGTGTCCAGGGCTGTGACATAATCACCATTTGCCCACAAATCCAACTCATGTGAGATCTCTTGAACCAGTTCAAAGTCAGTGTTGATAATCCGTTGGAATTTGCAAGTTAAGCAAGCCTCAGAGTTGAAGCCAGAATTGCCCGGGAATTGCAGTTTGGAGATTTAAAGGACAAGCTCATGGGTCAAAACTATCTCCAAAATAGTGCTGAGATGTTATTTACATTTTTCACTGTGTTGACAGTTGCACTGTGGTGCAAAAGCAATGATGGATATAACTGCTGGTGCCGTCAATTCCAGGTTGCAACCAACCTTAAGAAACTACTAGTCACATTTGAGTGAAGTACTGAAGAAGAATATCTACGATTGCCTGGAAAAGGCTATTAAAATACTCCTCCCTGTTCCAGCTGACTATCTCTGTGAGTACAGATGTTCCCCATATATGTGATCAAAACATCGTATCATAACAGATTGACTGCAGAAGCAGATATAAGCTGTCTGTCATTAGGTCAGAAAATTAAAAGATTTGCAAAAATATAAAGCAATGCTGCTCGTCTCACTATTTATAATTTTGGAAATATATTATTTTTCATGAAAATATTTTTATGTTAACCTATAATGGTTAATTTGCTTTTTCAATGAATTAATAAGTAAATAGTTTAATTTCTAATGTGGTAAATATTGATGACTATAACTCAGAAAAGCTCTTGGGGGCTCACAATAAATTTTAACAATATAAAGAAAGTCTTGAGACCAAAAGTTTGAGAATTAATGAGTTAGAATCCGACAACTCACCCTAAGGTCCTTGTCTTTCAATGGAGAAAGGGAAGCCCAGAGTGACACAAGTCCCTGTGTGCTGCCCACAACCTAGAGAATCCTGACACCAGTCCTGGGACCTTCACATCAAGGGTGCACAAGATGGTTTGGAGCCATGTGACTAACCAGAACTGTCTACCCAGACCCAAGGACCTGTCCACAAATATCCACCTCCTGACACATTGGCTCCTGCCCCTCCACCATCATTTTCTCTGCCTCTGCCACCCCAGCTCACCCATCCAGAACAGCTGATAGCAACCCCTACCCAACTGAAAGCTCAATTCATGTCGCATCATGGGCTGGTCTCTCTCAAGGCAGGAATTTGACCTGCAGCCTCCATCCCCATCTTCAGTTCATGCTTAAAACCTGGTGCTGGCGTGGATGTTGATCGCTTGGTGCCTTCTGGTCTCCATCTCTGGTAGACTGGAGTTTTGTGCATGCTGGACCCAGGTTGGTCAATGTTCCCCGCATCCTCAGGATGTCTTTTTTTTTTTTTTTTGTGAGGAAGATCAGCCCTGAGCTAACATCCGTGCTAATCCTCCTCTTTTTGCTGAGGAAGACCGGCCCTGAGCTAACATCTATTGCCAATCTTCCTCCTTTTCTTTGCCCCAAAGCCCCGGTAGATAGTTGTATGTCATAGTTGCACATCCTTCTAGTTGCTGTGTGTGGGACTTGGCCTCAGCATGGCTGGAGAAGCCGTGCGTCGGTGCGCTCCCGGGATCCGAACCCCGGGCCGCCAGTAGCGGAGCGCGTGCACTTAACCGCTAAGCCACGGGGCCGGCCCCTCAGGATGTCTTTTTTGCCTTAAGGACCTCAGGCTGATTCACAACACACACATCCTCAGGCCAGGGGCTCACTTGTGTTCCTCTAATTCTGAGCCCTCACATGCAGCAGCATTTCAAAAAAGGGGCTGCATCCCAATGTCATCTCTCCCTTCCCAAGCCTCATCTGTTCCCAAGTCTGTGCTCCAGCTGTGAGTAGGCTGAGGCATCCCCCCAGGTCAGGCCCCTGAATTTTCTCTCTGGTGATCATGATATGAGGGACAGTTTGGATTCAGTTTCCCCCAAGGCAAAGGGAGAAGGATGAGACTTGCTGGGAAGTGGATGGGGATTGTTACCTTCAGCAGGTCCCCAGGACTGAGATGCTGGTACAGCCGGTGCCCTCAGTAGTGCAGGGGAGTCCACCACCACCCGGCAGACATTAACAAAAAATAAAGGCTCTATTCTGAAATGTTTCCTGTGGTCTCTCAGACTGAATTCGTGATGCCAGGGGAAGCAATATGTTTATATCAAGGAAGGGAGTCTAAAATTCCATCATGATGCCCTGGAGGCAGAAACGAACCATACTGCTCCATTCACAGGAGCTTGTTAAGTGTTTGTGTTAAGTGTTAAGTTAACTGCCGGAAATACCCTTAATATCCCTCAAGAGGATTGTGTGATATTTACAGGCCTTTCTTCATACTTGATAAACCAGTCAGTGTACTTGATTACACACAAAAGAAATCAACTCTAGCTAACGTAGACAAAAAAGAGATAAATTGGAAGGATAGAAGAGTGTTTGAGACATACAATGATATTATTGTAATAATAAAAATACAAATAACCTAACCAGAAAATTAGCAATGGATCTGAATAGACATTGCTCAAAAGACGATATACAAATGGCAAAAAAAAAAAAAGCAAAAAAAACCCATAAAAAGATGATCAACATCCGTAGTCATGAGGGAAATGTAAATCAAAACCACAATGAGATTCCACCTCACAAACACTCGGATGGCTATAATCAAAAGGACAGAAAATACCAAGTGTTGGTGAGGATATGGAGAAATGGGAACCCTCATACATTGCTGGTGGGAACGTAAAGTGATAAAACCACTTTGGAAAACAGTGTGGCAGCTCCTCATAAGGTTAAACATAGAGTTACCATATGACCTAGCAATTCCACTCCTAGGTATTTACTCAAGAGAATTGAAAACATATGTCCACACAAAAACTTGTACACGAACGTTCATAGCAGCATTATTCACAATAGCACCAAAGTGGAAACAACGCAATTGTCCATCAACTGATCAACAGATTAAAAATATGCTATGTCCATACAATGGAATATTATTCATCCATTAAAAAATGAAATACTGATACATGCTATGTCACGGACGAACCTTGAAAACATCATGCTAAGTGAAAGAAGTTGGACCCAAGAGGCCACATATTGTATGATTCCACTTATATGAAATGTCCAGAATAGGCAAATTCATAGAGCCAGAAAACAAATTAGTGGTTGCCAGAGCCTGAGGTGAGAGGGAAATGGAGAGTGACTGCTTAATGGGAATAAGGTTTCTTTTCAGAGTGATGAAAATGTTCTGCAACTAGATAGCGGTGATGGTTGCACAACATTGTGAATGTACAAAAAGCCACTGAATTGCACAGTTTAAGTGGATGAATTGTGTGGTATGTGATTCGTATCCCAAAATAAGCTGTTTAAAAAGAAAGAAAGAGGGAAATCACGAAGAGGAGGTAAGACTAGGTTTACAACATGCCAGAACAAGCAAGGCTGGGCAAAGCCAGGATCCAGCCATGAGAACCATCTTCTTAGGATGTGCCTCTGGTGCTGGCACCATCAGACGCTCATGGCAACACCACTGGAGTCCATGGGCACTGGATTCCCATGTTCACCACGGCTGCCGTGAATACTCATGATTCATCTGGAATGCTCTTCTCATTCCCTCAAAATTGAAAGTCCTGGACAAGAGCACACTGTTGGAAAACCTGGGCTGTGTGCTGCACATCCAAGCACTCTGTGCCAGAGAGCTGGAAAGGTGACTCTGGCCCCTCTCAGCTTCCATAATGGGAGGAAGTGCACTGCCTCCCACCTGTCTTCAGATTCCCACCATATAAAGGTCCAGACGTTGAGCAGCCAAAAAGTGACAATTGTCCACTACGTGTGGACAGCCCTTCTGAGAACCTGGAGGTGCCCAAACCCAGAAAGCCAGAGGCCTTGCTTCTCAGATCATCACAGTTACAGATCCACAAGCATTTAATGAGCAGATTCCTCGATGCCGACCTCTGTATGAAGCATGGTGATGTGAGATCTCACTTAATTCTCACTGTGAGGGCTCGATTCTTATCCCCATTCTACAGATCAATCCCACTGAGGTTCCTTGAGGGGCAAAGAACCATTCCCATATCCTTCACCTAAGCAAGTTTAGCAGCCATTCTTCCAGCTCATTGTGCAGGTTGGAGCCCCTGTGAACACACATGCTGCTCCCCACCTCGCCTACCTGGCGAACTCCCATGCATCCTTCAAGCCTCCGCTCAAGTAACTCCCAGAGCTTGCTTTGATGGAGGGTAGGACTGGCCAGTCCCACCTTCATATCCCCACTTAAACTGGTGGCAGGACAGAGCACCCCCTGTCACCCTGGAACTTGCCTTTGTGCTCCCTGTCCTCAGGGCATGCCCAGGCTCCCAGCAGGATCCCAGGGAGAATAGTGTCAGGTGAGATCAGGGCAGGAGGGCGGCCGGGATATAAGCAGGGGGCACAGAGACTCCCTGCTCTGGCCTTTAAACACTGTCCACTGCCGGCTCAGCCATGAAGGTAACCTTGGCTTTTCTGATCCTTGCACTGGGACTAAGAATATTTTGATGTGTAATATCTCTGTAGCAGCAGTATGCCACTCTCATGCCACTCAAATCTAAAAACTGCAGACTTAAATTCTCAGTTTTCTTCGTTTGTTAATTTGAGCCCACACCAGGAAGAGGTTTTGTGTACTTAGTCCTTCAGGAGTAAATCTACAGATGCTGACACCGGGGCTAGAGAGAAGAAAGGGGCACTATGAGGTAGCTTGGGGGCAACTTTAGCATCCCCCGCCTCCAAAGTCCCTTCTCCCATGGAGCTTGCATTTGGGGCAGAGGGTAACAGGGTAATAAAATTTTAGGTTTAATCAAATAGCAATAAAAACTAAGAAGACTACAGCAGATTATGGCGAGAGTGATGGTGGGGAGGTGCTGTTTTATATAGGGCCTCTCTGAAGGAAGTGAGGGTCAAGCCATGCTGATTGCTGGGGAAGAACATTCCTGAAGCAGGAACATGATGCCAAACTCATGGATTTTCAAGAAGGCCACTGTGGTTGGAAAGACTAAGGTGAGGGAGAGTGTAGGAGGGTCAGAGGGATGGCCAGCAGCCAGATCATGAAGGCTCTGACAGGTCGGGTGACCATCCATCCTGGTTACCCAGAACAGTCCTGATTTATGCTTGTTGTCCCAGCTTAATTAATAGTGCCCCTTTCATTCTCAAAATTAAATTTCAGTTTCTGTTCTTCTTAAGTTCTCGTTTCTTCCAACAGAAATGTGGAGATATGTTCACCCAAAAATGTACAAAAATTTTCACAGCAGTACTATTCGTAAATAACAGCAAACTGAAAACAACACAAATGTTCACCAAAGGTAGAGTAAATAAATTGTGATATATTCATGAAATGGGATACTATAGTTCAACGAGAATGAACTATTGCTATGTGCAACAAATGGATGAATCTCAGAAATATAATGATGAAAGAAGGCACCCAGAAAAGCACATACTATATGAGTCCATTTAAATCGAGTTCGCAAACAGGCAACACTAATCCATGGTGTTAGCAGTCAAGTAAGTGGTTACCTTGGGGGGGAGGCTAGTGAATGGAAGGGGGCATGAGTGGGAGCTTCTGGCAATGTTCTATTTCTTGATTTGAGTGCTGATTACATGGGTGTGTCCACTGTGAAAACTAATCAAGGAATACACACGTGACTTATGCACTTCTGCATATATGCTGTACTTCTACAAAAAGTTTGCCTTAAGATAATTATTCTTGGGGCTGGCCGGGTGGTGCAAGCAGTTGGGTGCACGCATTCTGCTGTGGCGGCCCGGGGTTGGCCGGTTCAGATCCTGGGTGCGCACTGATGCACTGCTTGGCAGGCCATGCTGTGGCGGCGTCCGATGTAAAGTAGAGGTGGATGGGCATGGATGTTGGCCCAGGGCCAGTCTTCCTCAGCAAAAAAGGAGGAGGATTGGCAGATGTTAGCTCAGGGCCGATCTTCCTCACACACACACAAAAGACAATTGTTCTTACTTCTGTGACTGAAGGAGGCAAGATTGGAAACAGAGACATTAGGAGGCTTGAAGAGACTGTGGTTTGTGTTAGGGTGGTTCCAGCGGAGAGGGTGAGAAGTAGGCTGGACTTTGGACATTTTGAAGGTCTAGTTGTTAGAATTTGCAGGTGGACTGGATGTGAGAGAGAGAAATCACACACAACTCTAAGGCTTTTGGCTTTAGGAACTGAAAAGATACAGGAACCACTTACTGAAATGTAGAAGACTATTAGGAAGTGTTTTTGTTTTGTTGGTGGTGTGTGTGGAGGGGGACAGGTGGAGAAATAGAGTTCAGTTTGGGACGGAAGCCTGAGGTACCTTTTAGGCAATCGCACGGAGAGACTGAATCACAGCTAGATGTAGCCTGGCATTCAAGGGGCTAGAAAGAGAAGTCCGGTATTCTGTTTAGGAGAAACAGGAACCTTATCTTCCACCATTCACAAAAATCAACTCCAGATAGCTCAAGACCTAAATATAAAACATAGAATCACATTCTTCAAGAAAATGTAGGTGACTATATGTCTCAGTGTGGGGGCTATGTTCTAAGTTTCTGGTCTTACAAACTCTACAAGAAGAGGTAGGCTGCATATTTGATTACCAAAAAATACAAACTTTTATATGGCAAAAATATCACAAGCAACATTAAAAACAACGTATTTGGGAAAATTTTTTAACAGACAAGATAGCTTTAGGATTCACAGGGAACAAAACAACTAAAGACAAAAAATTATCATAGGATAAAAATAGGCAAATTCATAGACAGGAATGACCCACAAACAAATGGAAAACGCTCAAACTTGTTCGTAGCCAGGGAGAAGCAAATTAAAGTGACAACATCATCCTTCTCATGTCAGATAAAGAAAGGGGTTCTCTCAGTCATTGCTGCTGGCGGGTCCACCCCTAACATTAGCAGGAGGCCGAGGCAAGACACAAATGCAAATGGAGGCCCACACACCAAATGTTTTATAATTAGAAGTTCTATCTATAATCTCTATATAGAACATATCTATAATTAGATATGTTCTATCCTCTTAATGTGATAAATGTATCCTGAAAAGTATTGTAAAGCTATGGTTTTCATATGACTGAAAGCTGACAAACTACCAATGATGTCAATTTAATTATTATGATAAATTATCACAGAAGATATTACTAAATATTTTAATAAATCACAGTCACTTATTATAGTCATTTTCATAATCTCTTAAGCAGTATTTATAACCATGCAGAATATCTTAGGTTCTCTTTTCAAATTTCAATGCTATTATATTATAAAGAAAACTGAAAATAGCCGTTGTTGGATTTTGTACAAATCTCTCTTCAAATGGTACTATGCTTTGATGTATAACAAACAGAAAAATAGCCACTACAGAAAACTGGCTTTGGGATTATTTGTACGTGAATCTTCTCCTTTAGGTTAGGCAAATATTTTTGTTTCCTTGTTTCAATTTCTCATATTTTACTAGAATGTCATTTTTCTTGTGTATTTCACATGCATTTTTCCTTTTCTTTTTCTAAACTTTAAAAAAAATTTAACCCTTTAAAAAGTGAAATAGCTAAACTTAAGAGTTTTTTAAAGCTTTTCTTAAGGTTATCAACAGAAATTAACAGTTCATACTAAATACCTGCAGATAGCACAAATTCAATATTACTTTCACTTTCTGTTAAAGCCCATGACTTGCTCTTTGAGGATCTTCTGTGGTTTTGCTTAACTCTTAGTATCTAAATTCAACTTAATTACTTTAACAGCATTTAGTTGGTACTCCAACCATGTGTCTGAGATTTGTTATAAGGTCCGATATGAGTTTAATCAAGCTGTCCCATACTTGGGCATGTCTAGAAAATCGTGTACCGGATCCTCTACTGTCCCACGACATCATCGCTGTCGGCACGGCAGAGGGCCTGTGTCCTAGAAACAAATTCAAACTGTGAGCTGTTCATCACACAGAACACTTCTGGATTCTTGGCCAAACTTCGTGCTTGTATGCCTTTTATTTACCAACCACGTTAGCTCCATTATCACAGGCTTGCCTTCGACAGTCTTTTAAATGTTAGTTTTTCAACACGTCTTCTGACCATGGTACATTCTAGTTGAACTGAGTATTTTCTCAAAAAAACTTTATATCTGATTTCATCTTTCGCTTTATTACTCATTAAATTAATCTGTTTGAATTCTTTATCCTAGACAGTGACCATTAGTTTTGTTATTTTTTGTCCTAATTACATGTTAGGCATTTTATCAAATTTTGAAATAGTTTTTACTAAACCCAGAAATTTTCCATTGTTTTTTATAAACATTGTGTTGGTGGTGCCATGAAAAGCATCATTAGGCTTGGCTAAATATTGGGCACATTATATTATTCTTTCAAGAACGGTACATCGATGTTTTCTAGCTTTGTCTTTTTTTGGTATTATCATTTATTGTTTATTCAGTCTTTTCTGCCAATTCTAGTAACTGTGTGTGTGATTCTTTGTGTTTCACAATGAAATCTTCCTTTACTAAAGAACATGAAGTTGCAGAGATTTCATCTGAACTGTTCAAGTTGTGGATTTGATGAGAGAAATATTCTTACTAATTTTCATCGTTTTGATAATTAAATCTTCATTGAACAAATAATATGTAATGTCCTGTTCGTGAATTTTACATGGGTCATCCTGGAAGAAGACTGCTTACTTTTACTGTTTTGTTTTTAAAAATGCAAGCAGACCATTTCTTTGAAGATTTGTTGCTTCTTTTTTCTTTTCAGCTTTTATTTTCTTTTCTGAGCTCCTCTTAAGTATTATTTTCTACCAAAACCTTGACTTACACTCATTTTCAACAATCTAGAAATTAAAAAGTAAAATGTAATTATATTGAAAGTATACAAAATTATGATATAGTTTCATCAAAATCAAGAGTAAATCCAAAAAAAGTAATTTGCAGATATAATTTCAAAAAGTTAGTTTTGTCTAAAATATACAAAATTATTAATATTAAAGTCAAAATATGAATTATAATTAATGAGTACATTTTAAATCAAAATTATTTAAAAGCTGAAAGTTTTAACATATTTTTGAAAATTTAACTAAATCTTCTAAATATTTTTGTAAGAATAAAAGCATTCATAATTCTAATATTCAGTGTCCATTTAGTTGCCGACATAGAGAGTTGGTTCTTCATGCAGGTTCCGTCTAGACCTGCGTTGTCCAATACAGCAGCCACTAACTACATGTGGCTACTGAGCACTGGAAATGTGGACAGTCCACAGTGAGATGCACTGTAAGTGTAAAATACTCATCAGATTTTTAATATTTGGTATCAAAGAAGGTAAAATATGCAAGAATTTTTTATATTAATTACATGTTGAAATTATATTTTGGGTATATTGCACTAAACATATTATTAATTTCCCCTTTTTATTTTTTTTAAGTGTGACAACTAGAAAATTTTAAATTACTTATGTGGCTCTCGTATTTCTATTGGACAATACTGGTCTAGACGTACATACATACAAATTTAAGAGTAGTAGGAATCAGCTCTCACGTGCAAGTCTTGCATATATTGTACTAATTCACGAATACCTCCAGAAGCACAAATTGAAACGTAGAGAAAATGGGCCCTGGGCACTACGGGGAAACAATACATTACGCAAGAATTTATTTGACAAGCTATTAGTCTGTCTTTTTACCTAAGTCATTTCTTCCCTACACTCCAAAGCAATGTCCATTTCTGATGTCAGCAGGAGTGCAATCCACAAACCTTTAGACTCAGGTGGCCCTTGTTTCTGAGACACAGAGTAAGAGATGCAGAGAAGCATTTCGCTGGGGTATGAATGATGTTAGTCATAAGAGCAGATAGTGAGGATTATGGGTCATGCTGTGCCACTGCTGAGTGACAGAGGTGCCCCATGTGTCTGTAATAAACCAACTGTTTTGTAATATCAAGGTCCTCTAAAGTGCAGAAGCCCCTCTTGATTATATCAACAGTATCCAGCAATACTGGCTGGTGGAGATGTGTGTTTTTGCAGAATTTTTGGAAAGCAATGTGGCAAGATCTATTAAAATGTACACAAACCAGTGATAAAGCAACCCCATTCCTGTGACTCTAGCCTGTAGGCACAATAGCACACTTGGTAAGGTTATCAACAGCTATCAACATAAGGCCATCTTGTAAAACAGATTCTTAACCGGGGGACACATCAGAATTACCTGAGAAACTTTTTCCTAATACACCTGTGTTGCCTCTCTACCTCAGATCTATTAAATTAGATTCCTTAGGGAAGAGGCTCGGATATGTATATTTTGAAAAAGCTCCCTAGGTGATACTATAGTACACCTTTGGTTAAATATTACAAATCTAAAAAAGTATGCAGAGTCAATAGATTATATGCCATTATAAACTCCCAAGCCATATTCAAATTTTATTTTTCAAATTTTGCTTTAAATAAGGGGGGATTTTATTTGGGATTTTGAAATCTGTAACAAAGAAAACTGTAATTCAAAACATATAGTTAATTCAAACTTATAAGAGCTGTACTGATTTCTCTGCACTATGAAAGAGTGTTTACGTAAGTTTATAGGGTATGCTAGATCACAGAGAACCTGTTTAGTCTACAGTAGCTCCCGCTTATCTGTGGGGGATACGGTCCAAGATCCCCAGTGCATGCCTGAAACGGCAGATAGTACTGAACCCTATAGATACTATGTTTTTTCCTATATAAACATACCTATGATAAAGCTTAATTTATAAATTAGTTACAGTAAGAGATCAACAACAATAACTAATAAAGGTGGTTTTGGTGCCATTATTAAGTAAAAGGAGGATTGCTTGAACACAAGCACTGTGATATCACAACTGTCGATCTGATAACCGAGACAGCTACTAAGTGACTGATGGGTGGGTTGCGCACACAGGGTAGATACAACGGACAAAGGGATGATTCCCCTCTCGGGCAGGACAGAGTGGGATGCTGAGAGGTTTCCTCACGCTACTCAGAACAGAGAGCAATTTAAAACTTATGAATTGTTTATTTCTGGAATTTTCCATTTAATATTTTCAGACTGTGGTTGACTGACTCCATGGAAGGAGAAACTGTGGATAAGGTGGGACTCCTGTACTTAAGGCAACAAACTGATCTAGAAACATCCAGATAGTTAACACATTAACACAAGGCATTCTCCTATTAAATCATACTGGAGAAAGAACTCTGTTAGTCTAATTTGAGTTACTACTCATAGAAGTAATAAATGGGGTTAAATTTGAGAATCAAAAGAGCAGTTTTCATTATTTAGTGTGAATTATTTTATATGAAAACTGAAACTACCAAGTGATATTAGACTTATTTAAGAAATGTGGATAATCAGATATTTGTCAAACTTTCACACTTGAATAAATCCCAAACACATGAGCCACAGATGACACTTACTTTTGAGAGTCTAATTCTGAGCATGTTTCTCATGCTTCTCCTTTTCTAGGCATTTTATGAGAAACAGAGTTTATTTATGTTTATTTATATTTAGTTTATTTTATAGTTTAGTTATATTTAGTTTATATTTAGTTTAGTTATATATATATAGTTTAGTTATATTTAGTTTATTAATATTTAGTTTATTTATGAGAAACAGAGTTTCTCTCTGTTACCAGCTGCTTTCCAGGAACCTCTGGAATCCCCATGGCTGCTGCAAATTTTGCTGCACCTTGGTCAGTCAGAAAGCAATGAGGTGTCTTGAGCCAGAAAGAAATGGAAAAATGGTTATTTTTTTTGAAAAAGTTAAAATCTTTTTAACTGTTCCAACTGTGTAGAAATAAATACTTCTCTCTGAGTACAAAGCCTTAAAAATGCAAATTTCACTGGCTTGCTTTTCTGGATGTTGAAAAGAGCCTGGCTCTCTGAGTTTTTGTATTTTCAAAAGAACTAAAAAATGATGGAATATTACTAGGAATGCAACTTACATACGATCTTAGAGAATTTAATCCATTTGTATTTAACACATGCTACTATACAGTGGGTCTGTATAGTTTGTATGTGTTATATGTGTTGAGAGACGGCTGAAGAAAATACAGGAAGATAACATGAAAACAAAGTAATCACTGGTTAAAGGATTACTACTCAAATTACATCGTCAACAAAGTCAGAATCTTGGCTTATTTGAGAAACTTAATATTGCTTCTGTTCTTGTATATAATTTTAGGAGAACAGGGATCTCAAGTATTTCGCTACAGTCAGACCCCTTGTAGTCACTGAAAGACACAAGTAACATTCCTTAGGAAAAGGATGCTATATTACCACATATACCTTTTCCATAACAAGCCGCACAAGTTTAATGGGATTTGCTACACAGCGGACTGCAGACACGGCTCCTGCAGACAGGTCTTTTCCATTCATGATACTAGCATCCATTTCAACTTCACCATTTGCATTCAACATAGATCCACAACCTAAATCCAAAAAGAAGTTGAAAAACAAGAACTAAGAATTTAGAAATGGATTCAGTTTCCTCTAAGCTGCCTACTTTAATTCATCCTCTACTCCATCACCAGAGGAATAAATTTTAGAACACAAAACCAACTTGGCACCCCATGACCTACAAAATAAAAAGTATGAAGCCCTTCCTGGTCTGTCCTCTGACTTACTTTTCCAGCTTCATCTCCTCTGCTTGGCTATACTTTACTGAAATATCAGCTTTCTCTGAAAGTACCATAAGCTCTCATTACTCTGTGATTACTCTTTACTCCTGCACATTCTGTTCTCTGTATCACTAGCACACTTTCTCCAACATTCTCTGCCAAGATAATGCCTAGAAGTCTAGCTATTCTTAACCTCTTTGTGCTTGTTTCCTCATCTGTAAAATGGGGGTAAGAACAAAGCTCAAGAATATTTAAAGGATTACAAAAATATCCAGCACTAACAAGGTAAAACTCACAATGTCTGGTATCCAATAAGAAATTACCAGGCACACAGAAACAGGAAAATATGACCCAAAAGGAAGAGAAAAAACCAAATCAACAGTAACAGACACAGAAATGACACAAATGATAAAATTAGTAGACAAGGTATTAAAACAGCTGTTATAACTATACTCCATATGTACAACAATGTGGAGGAAAATATAAAAAGGACCCAAATAGAACTTCTAGACGTGAAATGAAAAATACACTGGACAGTATTAACACCAGATTAGATACTGCAGCAGAAAAGATTTATGCACTTGAAGACACAGCAATAGAAACTACCCAAAATGAAAACCAAAAAAGACTTAAAAAAGAAAAAAAAAAAGAAAAAATAACAGAGCATGATTGAGCTCAGGGATAATTTCAAGTAGCCCAACGTATGTATAATTGAAGTCCCAAAAGGAGAGGTGAGACAGAGGAATGACAAATATATTTAAGGAAATAATGGATAAAAAATTTTCGGATTTGATGAAAACTATAAATTCACAGATCTGAGAAGCTCAATAAACTCCAAGCAAAAGAAAGATGCAGAAAAATATGTGCAGGCACAGCACTAAGTAGAGAGGCAAAAAGATAAGATTGATAGCATATTTCTGTTAGAAATGATGTAAGCCAGAAGACAGTGGGGCAACATCTTTAAAGCCCTGAAAGAAAAAAACTTGTCATGTTGTAATTCTATACCCAGTGAAAGTATCTTTCAAAAAATGAAAACAAAGACTTTTTTAGACATACAAAACCTGAAAGAATTCATCAACACCAGATGTACAATACAAGAAATGTTAAAGGGATTTTTTCAGGCAGAAGGACAATGACAGCAGATAGTAATCAGGATCCACACAAAGGAATGAAGAGCACTGGAAATGGCTAACATGTGGATAAGCAGAAATATTTTTCCCTCTATTTTTACAATATCTTTAAAATATAACTGCTTAAAGGAAAAATAATAACAACATATTGAGCAATTGATAACATACACAGAAATAAAATATATGACAACAATAGCACAAAAGCCAGGAAAGGAGAAACACAGGTATGCTGTTACTGTGTTATAGCACTATGCATGAAGTGTTGTACTGCTCAAAGGTAGACTGTGACAAGTGAAAGGTCTATACTATATACTCTAAACCCTTAAAAATAGAAATATAGCTACTAGGCCAACAAAGGAGGTAAGATAGAATCATAAACGACACTCAATTATTCCAAAAGAAGGCAGAAAAAGAGGAAAATTGAACAACGAATTGATTGGACAAATAGAAAGATGACAGATTTATATCAAACAATATCAATAATCACATTAAATGTAAATGGTCTAAACATCTCAATAAAAATCAGAGATTGTCAAATTGTATAAAAAGATAAAACACAATCATATGTTGCCTATAAGAAATCCAATTTAAATGTAAAGACACAAATAGGTTAAAAGTAAAAGAACGGAAAAGTTATACCATGCTACAATGAATCAAATGAAAGCTGGAGCAGCCATATTTATATCGGGCAAAGCACACTTCAGAACAAGGAACATTAAATAATACTAAGGACATTAAGTAATAATAAAGGGACCAATTTACCAAGAAGACAAAAATCTATGCACTGAACAACAGTTTCAGAATACACGCAACAAAAACTGATAGAACTCAAAGGAAAAATAGACAAATCCACAATTACAATTAAAGATGTCAACACTGCTTTCTCAGTAATCAATAGAAATAGACAGAAAATCAAGATATAGAAGATATGAAGAGTGTTATCCACCAACTTGACCTTATTGAGATTTACAGAACTTTCCATCCAGCAACAGCAGACATTTTAAGTGCAAAGAGGATATTTACCAAGATAGACCACCTTCTGGGCCAAAAAACAAAGCTTACAAAGTTTAAAAGAATGTAAATCACACAAAGTGTGTCCTTTGATCATAACAGAATTAAATTAAAAACGAACAATATTTGGAAAACCCACAAATATTTAGAAATTAAGTATCA